GAGCTTGAGCAAGGCGTCGAGGCGACAGGTGTCGAGGCGCCGAGGCGGGGCGGAAGGGGCGACTAGGCGAGGGCGGCGCTGCGGCGCCGGGCGCGCGGCGTGCCCGCGGCGCTCACTTGTAGTCGGAATCCCCGGGGCGCGCCGCAGGTGCCATGGCGTCGAGCCTGGGGGAGCGAGCGGCGGCGCGGCGGCGCTCAAAGTGTGATGTCACAGCCGGAGACCAAAAGTGAGGCACCAGAAGCCCAAACTCGGGGCCCAAAGTGATGCGACTGCCGCCACCCGCCGTCGGCGGAGCCTCGGGTCCTACAGACTGCATCATAAGCACCAGGGCGCCATGCGCAAGCATCCAAGAGGGACGATGAAACCGCCGGGGAGTTCTACCGGCTCAAACAGCTGCTGCGACACGTTAGCCGTCGCCGCTCGCTGGCAGCGCTTGCCCCTTTCCCCAAGCCCTGATAGAACAAGTAGAGCGTCCCCAAGCAATAAACGCGCTGGTTTGGCAAAAGTCTCACGTCTTTCGTTGACCCTGTGGACCAGCGAAAATATCGAGGTGCCGTCGAAGCGAGGAACACTAGGCGCAGTTGATCTGCAGCTCAGCGCTCTGCAAGCTGCATATGGAATATGGACTCCTTGACTCCTCCCTCCCCCAAGAGGCGTCGCGAAATGTCCGACATGAGGCCACTCCAAGATGCCGCGGCATCCTGGCTTATGCGGCCGCCGGCGGGCTGAAAAGTCACGTTCCGCACCACATCGTCATCTCGTAAAATCTGGTCGCAATTATCTATGTTCCTCGCGGTCTCTAACAGCACTCTGAGTCACTCGCGGCACCTGTCGCCGTTGTATTGCTGCAGTGTGGCGCAGTGCAGCACACCTGCTGCTGCTGCTGTGCTGTGCACTCTTGATTGTGGCCCTAATCGTCCAAGGCTACGGTGGCCGCCCTGCTGCTTACACCTCATGATATAAATCACGTGCATCGCATGCAGCAACGGGCTGTGCAGAAGCAGCAACACTTGAGGCGCTTGCAGCAGGGTGCAAGCGCGGCAGCCGGCATGAAGACCACAGACGCAGCGTCCGCGCTGCCACGGCTGGACGAGTCATCATGCGGATGCAGGCTGCGCAGCCGGGCAGCGGACGTGTCGTTTTGATGGAGATTAGCAGGGTCTAATTGTGGTGCCCGGTGGCCTGTCGTCGTGGCGCACCAGGGTGCCACATGGATGCGCGTGAGCTGCGTCTTATGGGTTGCATGTGTGCGCCGTGCCCAGCGCGCCACGCCTGCATCCCAAGCCGTGTGCGCCTCGCACTTCACTTCACGTATGGTATGCGGGAGTCTTGGGAGGGCGGTAGGACGTGCCTGTGCATGGGCTCGTGCGTCACAGCGCGCACTGGGCGAATCGAGGCGCCCTGTGCTGGTCGCGTATGACGGATCTTCGCTCAGCAAAAGGCACGTTCAAGGCGTGCCTTTGGCCTTTGCCCCCCGGGCATGCATGCACGCGTGGCGGCCGTGCCGCAGGCGCAAGGGGAGCCGCGAGCTCGGGCCTGCAGAGTTCACCGCTTGATTGGCGGTGCGCGGAGCTTCCCCCTGACCCAGTGCACACAAGCGGCCCTTGCACAGGGCCTTGGCAATCAGCCCGGCGGCTGGCTCCCCCCTGGCCCGCGCGGGTGGGGCCCAGCTGTGCCGCGGGAGCAGCCTCCCTCCCAACAGGGGGCAAGGCGCCCACGACAGCGGCGGCCGCGGCATGTGAGCAGCAGGGCTGGAACGAGGCTGTCGGAGGAGATTTCGGCCAGGGGATTAGAGCCATGGCAGGCCTGCTCGGCCCAGCTGGACAACAAGGTGCGAGTGGCCCGGGAGCTTGCTCAAGCTGATAGGAAGGAGAAATTTCTGTGCCTGCAGGCCAGCGCGGCCCCAGCCGTCGCCACAGGGCCCCCGTAGCCATGAGCAGCGGCGTGCGGGCGGGCGGACGCGGGCCAGCGGCCGCGCGCCCCGCCGACCCGTGCCTTGGCACGGTCGCGGTCGCAGGCGCGGACGCGGGCGCTGGGGAGGGCGCGGGCGGGGGCGGGGGCGCGGGTGCGGGTGCGGGTGCGAGGGCCGGGGAGGGTTCACACGCAGCCAGGCGGGGTTCGGGGTTGGCTGGGACGTCAGCTACCAGTGCCTTACGCCGTGCCTTACAACAAAATCGACCCAGCCCTCCTTCTCCTCTTGCGACCTCGCCTTGGACGCGCAAAAGCACTTCCCCTTCGTTCCGCAGGAGGTGGAGGGGCGCCTTTGACCAGCCCCAGTCCCTTCACCTAAAGTGTGCGTGGATCTGCCTCTCGGCCAGGAGCGAGAACTTCATTGGGAACCTCACAGGCCACGAGCGCGCGCAGCCGGCCGCGCGCGCCATCGACGAGCCTTTGTGGTCCATATTGGGAGCCACAACCTCCTCATATCCTATTGACCATGAGTCAGCCTGGGCTGCCCTTTCCCTTGCCTGACAAAAATTTGCCCACACTGCATCACTCACGAGACATCGCAGTGCGCTAGCTGGTAACTAGAACTGGTAACTCAACGACCCCTTACAATGCTAGCCAGCTGAATTATGCACTGTCATTGATATAACCACAGCAACAGCCTCAACTGCCGTGAGTTTTGCAGCGGCCGTGGCCTCAGGTTGGCAACCATCGGCTAAACAAACGCCGGCACACCCAACTTTCCCGGAGACAGGCCGCACTTGATAAAGGTATCCAGTAGCTTGGACAGAAAAAATCTCTGCCCTCTGTTGATCCAGTGAATGGCTGGCGTCGCCGTTTTCCGCCCACATAGTCAACATGCAGGTGGCAGTGAAGAATAAAAAGAATGGACTTCTCCAGTCCAGCTTCCAAGTAATGATGCGCCGGGCTTGCTCAGCCCTGCAAGGCAGTTTAAACCTACCAACCCAGTGAGGTGCCTCTTGTCCCACCATCTTCGAGACCGCTGGGCATTATGCGCAGCAAAATCAATCCAAGCGGGGCGTGTTCCAGCCCCACTCAGGCATTACATGGCGGGCGTGAGACAAGTGCCGCATGTCATGCTGTGCGCGTGCGCATGAGTAGTTGCTGCGGGTGACCAGGAAGTGGTGCTTAGGCCTTCAGAGCAAAGCGCGACTTGTGCGCAATAGGACAACAAGGTGACTCTCCGCACACGGGCAAATAGGGGTATTTGGAGTGGAAATCACTGACAAGTGCTTCATGATACCTGTACACAAACTCACACCAATATCGGATCACCCCGCGCACCCGCTCTTCAGGCACACAAAACCACTCGTGGTGCTGAACACCGCAAGAGGGGCATCTGGTACCCTTGCAAAGCCCCGCTGCCTGCAACCGCTTCTTTGCTTCGGGGCCCTGCACCATAATCAGGTGCACGTGTATTAGCTTCTCGGCCAGCCGCGGGTGGCAGACGTCAAAAGCTTCCACGAGCACGTACGGCCGCCCGCAATTTCGGCGGGATTGGCGCACCCGCTCTTCGGCGGGCACGTGATTCTCGCTGCTCGAGTCCGCCTTCGTTGTCTCGCCGACGTGGTAGATGTCCTGATCTTCTGGCAAGGCTGAGTCCCGCGACATGTAGACATGGCCGGGTCCGTCCCAGATGTCATTTTTGCCTGCCAGGGCTATGCCCGTGTTGTGAAGTATGTTGAGGAAGACCTTCGCTCCCTCGGGGCCAAATTCCGCCTCGAGCTCCGCGACCCAGGGGTGGCTGAACATGGCGTCGCCGTCAAAGGCGGCGGTGTCGTCGCGGGCTCGGGGGTCATCGGCCCCACAGGCGAAGCTTGCCATAATGACAGCACTGGACCTTCTTAGCCCCGCCAAGTACTTGCACCACTTGTTCTGTGTGTCAAAAATGGATTGCATGCGCATCGTAAAGAGCGAGGCTGATTGCTGAGGCTGTTTGGTGTAGGGTTGACGCCTTGATGGCTGCAATATCTATTGCACCTCTGCCAGGATTGGATGAGTCACGCTGCCGTGCACAGTGGGCACCGGTGTGCGGCGAGGGTCGGGCGCCGGGCGCAGGCTTTGGCCAGGCAGCCTGCTGCAGTGCAGCCACAATCAAGTGACAGCTCACCGCGAGGGCTGGCTTGAGCTCTTTTGTTTTGAAGAGGATGCCAGCCGCCTCCAGGGCTTTGCAGAAGTCCCCCTTTTTCCATTGCTTCAAAATTTCTAATGAGATCGCAGGCGCCGCCCACGCCCGGACATGCCTGCTGGGGCAAGCTGCATCATTGCCACTAAACTTGGCCCCCACTAAGATCGGCGCACAGATGGGCCCGATGGTGGCCCGGGTGGCAATCCGCACTGGTGTGCGCGTGGCGTTGACGCAAGCGAACATCTTGGAATACGTACTGCTCAGCTGCATTGTTGCGCTGGCAGGATCGTCTTTGAGGCGAGGGGGGGATGCACCGTGTTTGACAAAGTCAACGAAATCGCATGTGCAGCTGAAGAGTGCAATTTCACAAACTGGATGTTGTGATTGGTCATTCGAATGAAAATAATTCGGGTTTTTTGTGTAGGGTTGTATTTGAGGCTGCTGTTCCTGGCGAGTACGGAACAAACACACCGAGACGACGAGTTTTGCGCGACGATTCGTCTCTGCACCGAATTCCTGCCACGTGCGGCACGAGAGTGCGGTTCAAAAGGTCTTATTGCGCTTATTGCCGCCACTCAGTCGTATGGCTGACCTGTGTCTGCAGTGCTGTCACTGGAAGCGGGTGGGGGGGTGACAAGCGCCACAGCACTCTGTGCTGACACCCTATAAGCAGCTGATTGCAGAGCGCTGCACACTTCAAGCCTGTAAAGAATACTTGTCCAGCCAGGGGAATCCCAAAACCAGAATGCCTCTTTGTTGCGAAACCCACGTCACCCTCAGTGCTACCCTCCTTGGCCTTGATCCTCCTTGGCCTTGATCCTCGCACCCCTCAATATCGATCCAGCGTCCTTCAAGCCGATTGATGTTACAGGGGGGGGGGGCAGGGAAGCACATACATGCCACCTCAATCCAACGCCACCGCGGCGTCGGCACTTGCGGCAGCCCCGGCGGAGGGGCGCAGCGTGGCGTGGCGCGAGCGCAAGCCGGCGCTCCCCCTGCCGCCAGCACCATTGCCTACAACGACCAACTCTGGGCCCAGCCAATCAGCGCAGCCGCCATCAGACGCCACACCAGCTGCCGTCATGCTAGCGTTGTCGTCACCGCGCTCATGCTGCAGGTGACTGGCTGCCGCAAGTGCCGGCTGAGGGTCCCACAGGAGCTCTTGCTGCTGCGTCAGCGCAGGGTGGAGCGGCTGCTGCCGGTGCTCCTGCTGCTGCTGCTGTTGCTCCTGCTGCTGCAGCTCCTGCTCCTCCAGCTGCTGCTGATTCTGCTGCTGCTGCTGCTCCAGCTGCTGCTGCTGCTGCTGCTGCCGCCGAAGTACAAGCGCTGCGGGAGCAGCACCCACACTGGGAGGAGCCGCAACAACGCTTCCAGTGGAGTCTCGCTCGGCATGAACACTGTCACTGCTGTTGTCGCAACCGCCCCGTGGCGGACCGCCGCGCGCCTCTTGATCGAGCCCCAACCGATTGTGGTGCACCATCCCTGACGAAGGCGAGCGCGGCTGTACGCAGCGCGCCCGCTGCCGGCGCTGCTGATGACGTCGCCCTGGCGGCTGCTGCTGCTGCTGCTGCTGCTGCTGCTGCTGCTGCTGCTGCTGCTGCTGCTGCTGCTGCTGCTGCTGCTGCTGCTGCTGCTGCTGCTGAGGCAGCCCCGGACGCTTGCTCGGAGCCGCAGCGGCACCCGCATGGTCTGCGGCGGCGCTCGGCGCCGTCTCTGCCCCAGGGCTCGCCCCCGCAAGATGCGCCCACCACATCCACCGCTGCTGCTGCTCAGGCGGGAGCGATGAGGACAGCTGCGCCGCCCAGCTGGCAGCAGCACCCGCAGCGCCGCTGTACGCAGCGGCTGAGGCATCACTGCCAGGCGCTTTTGCGTACACAGCCTGCGACGATGGTGACGCCTGCGCCAACCCCGCCACAGCCGCCAGCCCGTCTGCAGCCAAAAGGTCGACTTCCAACAAAAGCCAGCCGGGCGGCCGCCGCGTTGGGCCTCTGCCCTCTGCGCTGCCGCCACCACTGCTGGCCCGCCGGCCGGCCGCCCAGCCGCCGCGCCCCTGCTGCTGCTGCTGCTGAGACGACTCCCCCGGCGCGGCTGGCCCCTGTGCAGCCCCCGCCACCGCCTCGTCAGCGTCTCTGACGCCATCCCAGGGTGCTTCCAGGCAGCGCACGTGCAAGTCGAGGCCGCCGAGCCCCGCCCCCTCCATCCTGCCACGCGCATGCGCCAGCGCCAGCAGCGCGCGCTCCGCGCCCGCATCGCTGCGGCAGCGCAGCGCGGCGGGCACGTGGCCGCCCTGCAGGCGCCGCAGCAGGCGCCACGCCAGCTGGCGCGCGCCCGGGGCGGGGGCGCCGTCCGTCTCGCTGTGCTCACAGCAAATTGGGGGCTGATGTTGGTGCTGGCGCTGGTGATGCTGCTGCTTCTGCTGCTCTTGCTGCTGCCGCCCCCATTGAGGTGGGGCTCGGCCCTGTTGTGGGCCCGAGAGCTTGGCCTCTTCGCTGCTGCCAGGTCCGCCGCCACTATTGCTGCTGATGCCACTGCTGCTGATGCCGCTACTGCTGCTGCTGCGCGCGATGCTCCAGTCGCGGCACAAGCTGCCCGCACCTCCGCACCCGTTGCTGCTGCTGAAGCCGCCGCTGCGCCCCCACCCGTCCTGCCCGACGCCGGCGCCGGCCGGCTGCTGCTGCATCACGCGCTGCCGCCGCCGCCGCCGCTGCCACTGCCGCTGGCCCGCCGGCCTTTGCCAAGCACGCGCGGCAGCTTCCGCATCCTCTGTGCTGACCTCGTAGACCTGCAGCTGTATGGTGGTGAAGGACGCCTCCCCCGCCGCCACATGCTCCCCGCTCGGCTGCCACCACAGCTGCCGCGGCCCGCGCTGCCCCGCGCCCGCTGCGCCCGGCTCCCGCGAGTTCCGTGCGAGGGCGGCGAGCGCGGCGCGCGCCGCGCGGCGCGACTGCATTGAGAGCGTCACTGCGCCGCTGTCCCCGCCACTGCCGCCAGTGCTTTGCAGTTGCAATTGCCACGTGATTTGGGCGAGCAGCGCGGCAGGGCGCGTGTCGCTCCGCACCCGCAGGGTGGGCGCCAGACTGCTTGCTTGCTGCTGTTCCTGCAGCCGCTGCTGCTGATGCTGCTGCTGCCACTGATGATGGTGCCGCTGCTGCTGCTGTCGATCGTGCTGCCGCTGCTCGGGCGAAGGCGTGCCGATCTCGCTGCCAGGTGACGCTGGGGCTGGCGCCCTCGCACCCGCACCGCCACCCTGATCCTCAGGTGCTGCAGCCGAACGAGATTCATGCCTTGCAATATATATTCCGGGGCCGGCTGCGGCGATAAGGCGGTCCATATCGGCCGCATCGCCACGAAAGCGGCGGTGCTGCGTTTCGAGCGCGCGCCCCGCCTGAACAACATGGAAGCTCTGCTGCTCGCTGCTGGCACGCGCCGAGGTGCATCTCAACCTGCGTGAATAATTACATCACGTGCATTGTTAAGCAAGGCTTCTGCCACACAGACAATCTCACAAGGGGTGTGTTGAAGCCTACCTCACGGCCCGCCGGGGATTCGCATCCAGAGTCTTAAGAGCTCCGTGTAGCCTGCAATGCTGCCCTCGTGACCGCATCCTCCCTCCAAAAGCAAGGCCTTCACTTGCGTGCTCCGTCACCGCCTCGCCATTTCATTCTGAGGCAACGGTGTGTGATTAAGCCACTCTTGCTATCTGTGTGACCAGGCACTGCCTGCTGCGCGCACTGCAGATCTGACGGGCAGCGAGCGGGCGGCTGACGAGGTCTTGAACGACCAACACAGGGCGCCTGAGGCCCCACAAGCGCAACGCTGAAGATGTACGCATGCTTTTGAAGTCCTCTGCATGTGGTCCGTTGAAGACAACAGCGTTTTGTACTCGACCTGGGGGGGCGCTGCGCGGTAGAGTTGACTGGTGAGTGAGGTGGTCTTATCAAGCCTCTACGCATTGCTAACAAGGTTTAAATGTAGCTCTTGTGGGGCTTGCACATCATCTTAGAGCCCTAATGGCACAGGCATACGGTAGCCGCCACAAAACACAAGCGGCGAAGACAAGCACCTCTGAGTGCGCCTGACGCAACGGGGGGTGCATGCAGACTGTGCTGGACGGCCCGCCTTCAAGGCAGGTTGGATATGGCCAAGATAACAGCCAAGAAAGTAGAGGATGCCAATGTGGCAGACAGGGGACTCGTCAGCATCACCTGTGGTGGCCTCGTAGAGGGGGGGGAGCGAGGGGCATGAGAAGGGTGGCGGATGTCCGGACAGCCTGCAGCAAAGCCTGTCATGAATGATAACAACCTTGTGCAAACTTGCATGGATATACTCTCTTGCAAATCCGTGATGAGTCGCCGCAGTAAGCAGGCCTGGCGCGGGCAGCGGACTTGGCTGGCATGGGGCCTGCATGCGACAATGGCTTCTGTGCATGGTTGCCGCAGCCGCAACACTCAACACACGGAAGGCTATGCGATCCTCTCTACAGGTTGTAGAACATTATAAGCCGCAGCGAACCGCGGCAGCAGGCAGTTGAGAGCGGCCAAAGCCTGGTGACAACAGTCCAAATCCAGAAAGCGCCGGGGCGCTCAGTCTTGTTCCCCTTTCCATCCTCGTGTGTGTGAGCTCGACAATCGATACATTTGAATAATCACGAGCACCTGAAAATCGGCGTGTTGCACACCACAACGTCACTGGCTCGCTGCCAAGCCCTCCGGGAATGTTGCAGACGGCCCTCTGGCCCGCGCAGGTGGTCCCGAAGGAGTGCTGCCACGCTAACACCCAGAGCACGCCCCTCTTACCTGCGTGGGGGATGCAGTGGCAGCAGCACGTCGACACCGCCGTGCCACCGCGGCGGAAGCGACAGCGCGAGCCGGACCCTTCCAATGGCTTCCTGTCCACGTACGGGGTTGATCAGCAGCCGCCGCATGCCAAGCGGCTGATGCAGCAGCAGCCGGCCTGGGCGGCCCCGGCTGCGCCGGGCGCCGCGGCCCCGCTCTTGGAAGCAGCCCCATCCTCCTCTTACACAGGCGCCGCCGCGCCCTTTGCCTCGGTCCAGCAGCAGCCATTCTTTGGCAATGGTGCAAATAACGCCGCAGCGGCAGCACCCGGCGGCCAGGCCCCCATGCTTGCAGCCGCCTCGACCGCCTCGGGCGCGTATGGCAGCTGCCCGGCACCTGCCGACTTGGATGACGAAGTCTTGGACATCACCCCCTCACCAGACAAAGCGCCAGCCGCTGCGCCCGCCGCCTTCCCGGCGTCTTCCGCCGCAGCAGCAGCAGCATACGGCGGGCATGGCGGCGCCGCCGCGGCGTCCCACGCCGGCGGCGGCGCTCTGGTGTGTGTCGCCCCCGCGGCTTCCCGGTGGGTCGACAGCCTGATAGGTACCAGCGCCGACGCCGGGCGCCGCGAGTGGATGGCGCGCGCCCTTCTCGAGGCGGCGCGGCGCGCGGGGCTGCTGCCCCCGCGCCTCGCCGCGCAGCTGCAGCCGGACGCCGCCGCCGGGTCGCTCCTCTGCAGCCCAGAGGGCTGGGAAGCGGCGCTGCGGCGGCTCGCGGCGGCGCTGTCGCCGCAGCAGCGCGCGGCGCTGTCGGTGGCGTGGCGGGAGGTGGTGTCTGCAAACGGGCTGAGCCTCGAAGGCACGGGGCTCCGCATGCCGCCAGCTATGGTGCCGCGCGCGCCGCGGCCGGCGGTGCCACAGCAGGCACAGGTGCAGGCGGGGCTGGAGTGGCTGGGGCAAACAAGCCCGTGGGTTCGGCGGGCGGCGGAGGGCCCCAGCTGCGTCATTACAGAGGTGTCCGGCAGCAGGAGCGGCGACGAGGCAGAGGGCAAGCAGCTTGGTGCTGGCTGTGGGCAGTGGCAGCAGCAACACTGGTCCCAGCGCCACCTCAACCAGCAGAAGCAGCAGCAGCAGCAGCAGCAGCAGCAGCAGCAGCAGCAGCAGCAGCAGCAGCAGCAGCAGCAGCAGCAGCAGCGACAGCAGAGGCCTGGCGTCGGCGGCGGCGGCGACGCGATGTCCGTTGACCCGTGCGCACCATTGCAGCCGGCGTGGGCGCCTTGGGGGCGGGAGCAGCAGCCACACCCGCAGCAGCTGGGGCCCACAGTGTCATGCACCGCCGGCGGCGCTGACGTCGAAGATATGGTCCTGGATTGAATCAGCTCGAGCGTCAGTGCTTGGACTCGTTGACCTCGTGTAGGCGGCTCCCTCCCCCGTCGACGACCGCAGCCTGCCGTCATCTGGAGGGCGTTTGTGCCGGACATCACGCCGGTTTCCGCTGGCTGGCTGGCCAGCTGAGTGGCCCTTGCGTAGCCAGCGGGCCGGCCCTGTGCAATCGCGTGTGCGCGCTCGTCTCGGCGTTTGCGTGCTCCCGGCGGTGTGTGCAAGGCGAGGCAGTTGGAGCCGTGCTTCTGAGGAAGAATGTGGGTGTACCATGTTTCCTTTTCTGGGTTGTAATGACCGCAGAGAGGCGTTGTAATTCATAGGCGGTGAGTGTTGCAGTCACGCAGATTACACATCGCTCATACTGTATAGAGCAGCGCAGCCCAGGTTGATCGCCTGTGTCCACTCAAGCAGCGCGCCCGGAACTGTAAACCCACTTTTATATGCACCAGGGACGCCGATGTTGTTGAGTGGGGATGGCCTGTCGTCTGTCGTCGAGTCGATCGAACAACCACACCCCCAACGTCAGTCAAAGCAGAGGGTGAAGGATGGACGGCCATTCCAGGCTTCTGCTTGTACATAAAGAAATTCCAGGCTTAAAGTGATGCTATGCCTTACTCTGGGGTGCGGGGTACCGAGGGGCGCTGCGGTGAGCCTTGAAGGCGGCATGTTCTGGTGGGGTCAGATTTTGCGTAATATATTCAGGCCACCTCGGGGCAGGGCGTTTGTGACAGGGGTGTAGGCGACCTGGTGGATGGGGCCATAGCAAATGGCCTCCAGTGTAGTCTGATGTGCGTATCTGCATGCACGTGCGTCAAGACCTGCGCCACTCGACCAGGAACTCCCAACAACAGGCGGCATGGTCAAGCTTTGCAGCGCCACGCAGGGTTCCATGATAAATGCCTTGTATTTATGATATTAAACATAAACATCATTGTGTCGTGAATGACGCGTGCGCATACAGTACATGACAGTCCTTGTTCCGGCACACTTGAGATCTGACGACGGTGTTGTAGACAAAAGCCCGTCCATCAGCCGCTCGTACATACGTATTTAGTCATCACATGCAACACGTGCGTATGCCCGGAAACCAGTTGCAGTGAGGCTGCAGCAGGCAGCTCAGTACACCAGCCATTGCACCTTGGACCCAGTGCTGCACTCCATCCGTGCGCCATGCCGGGCCCTGACGTCGCCGGCGCCATCCGCCAGCTGGTCTGGCCCCCACGTGTGCATCGGGGTGGCGGCGCCAGTCGGCCACCAGCGCTGCGCGCAGCAGCAGAGGCGGCGCTCGACGCCGCGCTGCGAGCCGCGGGCCCCGCGGCGCCCGCACTGCCCGAGGGCCTGCTGCAGCAGCTGAGGGCGGCGATAGACGACCCGGCGCGCCTGCGGACAGAGGCAGTGGCGCACGCTGTTGACAAAGTTCTCATGCTTGGCCCTCAAGGCTCTGCCCTTGTGCTGCAGGTGTGTGGACGGACCGTGCTGAGTGGGAGGGCATGCGCATGCATGAACGTGAAGTTGCAGCGCCCAATCAACATGCAGCGCAGCACGAGCCCAAGACCTGGCCGCACCATCCCTCCTGAGCGCCGCCCCTTCCTCGCGCCTGCGCCTTGCCCTGCCAGGTGCGCAGCAGCCTCGTGCCCGGCCTGGCAGCTGCGCTGGTAGACTGCGTGCGCCAGCGCCGCCATGCGCCGGGCGGCGTCGCCGCATCTGCCATCTTGCTGCTGATGCAGGCCATATCGTACGACCTTGCCGCAGCCATGTCCACGATGAGAGTGCTGGGCGATGCGGCAGCCGTGCCCCTGCTTGCAGTCGCTGCAGACGGCGACAGGATTGCTTCGGTCGCAGCGTTCGGGGCGCTGGCCTCCTTCATGACTGCAGAGCCCGCCCTGGCAGCGCGCTGCGCAGCCTGCCCGGCGGCGCTTGGCGCCGCTGCATGCGCCATCCTCGGCACGGGCGTGGGACCGATGAATTCCGGGCGCATCGCTCTCAGCTTCCTTTCAGCAGCCGCAAGCGCCAAGGGCGGCTGCGCGGATGTCCTGGCAGCGCAGCCGCAGGTTGTCAGGGCCGCCGTTCGCGCTGTTGCTGGCGCGGATGCAGGCGTGCGTTTCAACGCAACGCGTCTTTTGGGGCAAATGACGACTTTTGGGTCACATGACACGACTTGCGAGCTGCTCCGCGCGCCAGGCGCGCTGGCTGCGCTTGTGCGGCAGCTGTCAACGCCGGCGGAGGCCGGCACGCGCTGGAATGCGGCAGTAGCTGTGAGCATGGCTGTCGACTGTGATGAAGCCGCTGCACGGGCGGTGCTGCAGCTCGGAGCGCTGGGGCCGCTTGTCGCGCTTTTTGACACTTCATTCAGCACAGACCCCAGCATTGCAGAAAGCCTAATTGGTGGCCGTTTGAGTGACGACACCACCTATTTCGGTTCAAGCATTGTTTTGCTGGGACTGCACTCGCTCGTGAGAGCCGCCGGCGACGGCGGCGCAAGCTTCGCTCGCGCTGTACACCTGGCTCTGGCCGGCTTTGGACGGGCGATGACTGCTGTTGCCCGCGAAAGAGGTTTGCCTGTGTGCTTGGCAGCCATGTCCCTGCTGTGTGCCCTCAGCTCTGAGGCATCAGGCGGCCAGCTGCGCCTGCTGGCGGCACGCAACCCAGAATTGGTGACAGGTGCCGCGAAGGCGCTGTGCTGTCTGCTGGGGGGCGCCGTGGTTGATGATTTCATTGCTGAAGGGCTCTGCTGTCCAGTGTATGAATCGTGCCCTCATATACTGCACACCTTTCAAGTGATTGCAATCCCTGAGGCCGGTGACCTGAGCAGCGCATTCGCGAGCACCGCTTGGGTGCCCGAGGTCGTGGCCGCGCTGCAGGCGGCAGTCGCTGAGCCCCTGACTGCGGCCAGCGGCGCGGACGCGTCTCCAGCACAGAAGCAAGGGGAAGAGGCCCGCGGCCACGCTGAATGCCTGGCGAGACAGGAGCTGCGCCGGGCGGCGGCCGAGCTGCTGCAGAGGCTTCAGGCCGCGCGGGACATGGCCGCGGAGCAGCAGCCGCAACAGCAGCAGCATCGGCGGCGGCAGCAGCTGCCCTCAACGCAGCCGCAGGCTGGCGGTCCCGCGGCGCCTGTTGCAGGCGCAGTTGCTGCCTCGCAGCTGTGCGCAGAGTGCGGCGCGGGGGCCCGGCTACGGCTGTGCCGCGGCTGCCGGATGGTGCGGTACTGCGGCGAGGAGTGCGCCAGGCGGGCGTGGAAGGGGGGACACAGGGCGGAGTGCCTGGCTGCACAGGCGGCGAGGCAGCAGGCGGGGCAGCGGTCGTCGGGTCAGCAGCTGTAGCTGCAGTCATGATCCGCGGGCAGGAGTCTGTTGGACGCGGTATTGTTTATTGTTATTTGATTCGCACCCTTACTGCTGCAGTGTAGTGCGCCACATGCCGCATGCAAATAAGCTGCACAGTGACAACCCATGCACTTGTAGTGTGTCACTCATCAATTGTGAACAGGGCCCAGGCGCGGCGTAGCCTGATTGTTCAGATACTCTGCCACTGCGATGTATCGTGAAGGGGCTGAGGGGACGAGGGCGGTACATCGTACATGCAGCGATAGGGCGTGCCGGCAGGTTGCAGCAGGCAAGGGGCCTCGCACCCCCTTCAAAGACTAGTGGTGCTTTTTGAGGATCGTGCAGTGTTGTTCAATACGATGATATGCTGTGATTAGCCAGCATCGCGGCGTTGGCGGCAGCGATGCGCACCCCGAGGACCTCGCTCTGCTGGCGTCCAGGGCGGCCAACCGGTGAGCTGAATCAGCAGGTGGTGGCCAGAACCACAGATGCTGGGGCACGGTTGAGCGTTGCAATGCCGCGCAGAGTTTCTTGTTCAATCGGATTGATACGGTGTGCCTCTACCACATGATTGTGTCTCGAATGCACGTGCTGTACAGCACCGAATGGTGTGACACGATCTGACAACCGTGGTGTCAGTACGCCACTCTCACTTTGCGTATGAAATAGTCTGCGTAACATCACGTGCGTGCACGCGGCCATCAGTCGCAGTAGGGCCGCAGTAGGCAGCTCCGCACACAAGCCTTGGGACCCACTGGCGCAATCCGTCCGCCATGCCGGGCCCTGACGTCGCCGGCGCCATCCGCCAGCTGGTCTGGCCCCCACGTGTGCATCCGGGTGGCGGCGCCAGTCGGCCACCAGCGCTGCGCGCAGCAGCAGAGGCGGCGCTCGACGCCGCGCTGCGAGCCGCGGGCCCCGCGGCGCCTGCGCTGCCCGAGGGCCTGCTGCAGCAGCTGAGGGCGGCGATAGACGACCCGGCGCGCCTGCGGACAGAGGCGGCGGCGCACGCTGTTGACAAAGTTCTCATGCTTGGCCCTCAAGGCTCTGCCCTCGTGCTGCAGGTGTGTGGACGGACCGTGCTGAGTGGGAGGGCATGCGCATGCATGAACGTGAAGTTGCAGCGCCCAATCAACATGCAGCGCAGCACGAGCCCAAGACCTGGCCGCACCATCCCTCCTGAGCGCCGCCCCTTCCTCGCGCCTGTGCCTTGCCCTGCCAGGTGCGCAGCAGCCTCGTGCCCGGCCTGGCAGCTGCGCTGGTAGACTGCGTGCACCAGCGCCGCCATGCGCCGGGCGGCGTCGCCGCATCTGCCATCTTGCTGCTGATGCAGGCCATATCGTACGACCTTGCCGCAGCCATGTCCACGATGAGAGTGCTGGGCGATGCGGCAGCCGTGCCCCTGCTCGCAGTCGCTGCAGACGGCGACAGGATTGCTTCGGTCGCAGCGTTCGGGGCGCTGGCCTCCTTCATGACTGCAGAGCCCGCCCTGGCAGCGCGCTGCGCAGCCTGCCCGGCGGCGCTTGACGCCGCTGCATGCGCCATCCTCGGCACGGGCGTGGGACCGATGAATTCCGGGCGCATCGCTCTCAGCTTCCTTTCAGCAGCCGCAAGCGCCAAGGGCGGCTGCGCGGATGTCCTGGCAGCGCAGCCGCAGGTTGTCAGGGCCGC